AGTGATTACTGTGTCACCTGCTGAAGATGAAAGGCCAGAGTTTAAGACAGAATCTCTAGATGTCACTGTGAATCCAGTGGAGAAATCAAGGCTGGAGGTTGGTCCACTGATTACTGTGTTACCTGCTGAAGATGAAAGACCAGAGTTTAAGACAGAATCTCTAAGAGAAGGAGAACAAACCCTACCAAATGCAGAACTGTGATGGTGATAGGAAAACCTATTGCTTCTCTTAAAAATGGGGAAGAAGGGGCAGCACCTGTGGTTCAAAGGAGTAGGGCACAGGCCCCATATACCAGAGGTGGCGGGTTCAAACCCAGCCCTGGCCAAAAATTGCAAAAAAAATAAAAATAAAAATAAATTTTAAAAAAAATGGGGAAGAAGCTGAGTTGGGAATGATTGTGCAAATTTTAGAAACCCTCCTAATATCATGTCCATGTAACTGATGGAGGCAACATTAAAGTTGGTGAAATACCGTTTGTGTGCACTGGATCCAAAATATGTATGATAATCACAAAGAAAGGAATGAAAATTTACTTAAGACAAAATTTCTAGACTGGGCATAGTGGCTTACACCTGTAATCCTAGCATGTTGGAAGGTTGAGGTGGAAGGATTGCTTAAGGACAGGAGTTTGAGACCAGCCCGAACAAGAGCAAGATTCCCATCTCTACCAAAAATAGAAAAAATTAGCCGAGGGGACGTCATGTGCACCTCAGCTGCTCTGGAGGCTGAGGCAGGAGGATCACTTGAGCCAGTGAGTTTGGGGTTGCTGTGAGCTATGATGATGCCACTGCACTCTACCTGGGGCAACAGAGCAAAACTCTTGTCTGCAAAAGACAATTTTCCTTTTCTAAGAAAAACATCAATGTTTAGGGTCATGAATAAAAGAAACTAGTGATAGATGCAGTGTGTGGGCCAGTTATCTCTTTGGGTATTAGGGATCTCATGAACCAGACTGGTCCATGGAGAATCAATTAATCCTGTTTGGAATATTCTGTATTATGTATGGATTTGGGCATACTCAGGATAAAAGGTACTAAGACAATACTGTTGAATCAGAGTTTGGGATGTTTATCAGAAATGGAATAAACACCAGTGAGTATAATATCTACTACTCCCCAAAAGTGAGAAGACGAGGTGAAATTTGAAGGACTCCATGAGGTCTTATTTCCAATGAGAGTTGTTCATTTGAAACCCTTACAGTCTACTCTATTATGTAAAACTACTGCTTCTCCCTACACAGGGAGATACCTTAATCCAAGCATCCAGAAACTCCCTGAAATTCTCTATAAAACATGAATATGCATTTTTCTGTGAAGAGGGCCAGAGACACCACCAGGGCTTCCTTCAGTGTGTGTGTGGTATATATTTGATGTGTATTTATATATATTATATATATACACACACACACACATATCTCCATATAAAGCTGAGAGATTTTCCAGGTTTTATAATATGTACCCTGGAAAACTAAGGGAGGAGGAATTAGTATTTTTTTTTTTTTTGAGACAGAGCCTCAAGCTGTCCCCCTGGGTAGAGTGCTGAGACATCACAGCTCACAGCAACCTCCAACTCCTAGGGTCAAGTGAGTCTCCTGCCTCTGCCTCCCAAGTAGCTGGGACCACAGGTGCCCACCACGACACCCGGCTATTTTTTAGTTGTAGCTGTCATTGTTGTTGGTGGGCCCAGGCTGGATTCGAACCTGCCACCTTAGATGTATGTGGCTGGCGCCTTAGTCACTTGAGCCACAGGCACCAAGCCTAAAGATCCCTTTCAAACTCAGACTAGATTCTCTGCAGACACTCATTTTGTCTTTTATCTCTCTCTTTCCTTCCTTCCTTCCTTCTTTCCTTCCTTCCTTCTTTCTTTCTTTCTTATAAAGTCTCACTCTGTGGCTTCAGGCTACAGTGCCATGGCATCATAGCTCACAGCAACCTTAAACTCCTGAGCTCAAGCAATCCTTTTGCTTCAGCCTCCTGAGTAGTTGGGACTATTTTTAGCAGATACGGGGTCTCACTCTTGCTCAGGCTGGTCTCAAACTCGTGCTATCCACCTGCCCCAGCCTTCCAGATGCTAGGATTACAGGCGTGAACCACTGCCTGGCTCTGTCTTTTTTACCTTTAGTTGCTAGTACTACTACTCTATTGGTTGAGATCTAGGCCTCTTTGCCCCAATTTTGGCAATGGAATGGACTACAGCAGCCAGTGTGACCTCTTGCTCCTCTTAAAAATAAGATTTTCAGGCTCGGTGCCTGTGGCTCAAGTGGCTAAGGCGCCAGCCACATACACCTAAGGTGGCAGGTTCGAATCCAGCCCAGGCCAGCCAAAACAATGACGGCTGCAACCAAAAATAAAAATAGCCAGGTGTTGTGGCAGGCGCCTATGATCCCAGCTACTTGGGAGGTGGAGGCAGGAGACTCGTTTCAGCCCAGGAGTTAGAGGTTGCTGTGAGCTGTGATGCCAGGGCACTCTACCCCGGGCAACAGCTTGAGGCTCTGTCTCAAAAAAAAAAAAAATAATAAGACTTTCGGTCCCTTTGTTTTAATTTAGAGATTAAAACCCTTGTAGAAAACAAATAACATGGAGCAATAATATAGTTCATATAGACCTGGTCAGTAATTCCCAAACATTTTCAGATGGTAACTGGAAGGTCCTTAGGTTAATACAAGTACTTTTATTCGTGTGGTAGGAGTTCATAGCACATGTACGTGTGTGCCCACGTGCAAAGACACACGCTCACACACATACACTTTGTTTTGATCCTGCCTTGAAAACCCTTTTCTTTGTGTTGGCCCTACTTTCTACAGGCTAATTTTTTTTTATTTAAGTTTTTTTTGAGGGGGAGGGCTGGGGCTGGGTTTGAACCCACTACCTCCAGCAAATAGGGCCGGTGCCCTACCCTTTTGGGCCACAGGCGCTGCCCACTACAGGCTAATTTTTATTATGGCAGAATTATTGGTACCTCCTTACTTCAAACGGCCTCAGATCAGAGGCTCTTGAGACTATTCCTGGCCTTTGTCTGGTTGTGAGACTAGATGTGTAATCCAAGCCTACTCCCCCGCCTTACATTACCACTCACACGCAAATTCTACCCCGCATAGTGACTGGTTAAGTACTCATTGGAGTCATAATCTTTATTTATAATTTAGTCTGAATATTTTAATTATATTACTGATTTGACAGGATGCTGAAGGCTGATGACTATTCAGGGAATAGAAGTTTTAAATGGCGTAGGGAGAAGGAAACAGTTCTGAGTGAGAGTGGAAGAAGCTAGATAAGAAGAAAGTAGCGTTAAGGGCCCTGGCAATAATCATACTTAACTTTTCCTTCCTTATTTATTTATTTACTTACTTTTGAGACAGAGTCTCTGCGCCCTGGGTAGAGTGTCACAGCATCATTGCGCACAGCAACCTCAAACTCTTTGGTTCAAGTGATCCTCCTGTCTCAGCCTCCTGAGTAGCTGGGACTACAGGTATCTGCTACAATACCTGGCTAATTTTTTCCATTTTTAGTAGGGACAGGGTTTCACTCTTGCTCAGGTTGGTTGGTTTTGAACTTCTGAACTCAAGCAATGCACCCCCCTCGGCCTCCCAGAGTGCTAGGATTACAGGAGTGGGCCACTGTGCCCAGCTAACTTTTCCACTTTTATAGCAGAGAATTATCTCACAACCAGAGACAACCTTTCATTGCTCCTTTAGAAACTGAATATTTTCTGTATTTTCTGTTTTCTCTCTTTCCTTATACGGAATTTCTAAAAGGAAAAAAAAAAAGCTTAAGTAGGTTTCCAGTCAGAGATAGCTCAGTATATTATCCTTTGCTACATTCTCTCTGCTCCAAATACGTTTTATAATAGATGAAGGGGGGGATAGAGGGAAAGAGAGAGGGAGAGAGAGGCAGTGTAGTTAAAACAAGATGAACATATTCACAAACTAGGAAAAAAATGTATGATTTAAAGGTATGATTGAAGCCAAGCCGTAGACTTAATGGGCTCTAAGTTCAAAAGTCAAAGGGAAGAGGAAGATAACTCTTGTGGCATCAAAGTCAAGATATAGGCTCGGCGCCTATAGCTCAACCGGCTAAGGCGCCAGCCATGTACACCTAAGGTGGCGGGTTCGAATCCCCAGCCCGGACCCGCCAAACAACAATGACGGCAGCAACCAAAAAATAGCCAGGTGTTGTGGCGGGCGCCTGTGGTCCCAGCTACTTGGGAGGCGGAGGCAGGAGACTCGCTTGAGCCCAGGAGTTGGAGGTTGCTGTGAGCTGTAATGCCAAGGCACTCTACCCAGGGGGACAGCTTGAGGCTCTGTCTCAAAAAAAAAAAAAAAAAAAAAAAGTCAAGATATAAAGTAGAGCCGGGTTCATAACCCTAGATTGAAGAAGAGCTCTAGAAAAGAAGCTGAATAAAACCTCCTGCCAAGCACTGGCTACAGATATAGCTTTTCTGGAACTGCAGACCAAAAGGGGTAGGACACAGGTACAACATTGCTAAACCAAACAGCCCATTGGTTCATTAACTCAGTCTGTCATACTCTCTAGTAACATAGCAGAGCAGGAACTCTTAAGTACCATGTTAAGAGCCCTGACTCTGAACTGAGTGGAGACTTTGTCCAAAGTAAGGAAACTACCAGGTATGCTAGAATAAGCACAGAGGGAGAAGAAACAAAAACAAAGAAATATTTGTGCGCACAAACAGGAATTCCAAATGTGAAAAAATATTCAGAACAAAACTGATAATGTCAACAATGAGAATATGAATTCACTCCAAATTACAAGAACTTGAGGGATAGTGTGATAATGACTTTAAGTATTCTTAGGATGGGCTCGGCGCCTGTGGCTCAAGTGGCTAAGGGCCAGCCACATACACCTAAGGTGGCAGGTTCGAATCCAGCCCCAGCCCGTCAAAACAACAATGACGGCTGCAACCAAAAACGGGCGTTGTGGCGGGCGCCTGTGGTCCCAGCTACTTGGGAGGCTGAAGCAGGAGACTCGCTTGAGTCTAGGAGTTGGAGGTTGCTGTGAGCTGTGATGCCACAACACTCTACCCAGGGGAACAGCTTGAGGCTCTGTCTCAAAAAAAAAAAAAAGTAATCTTAGGATGTACAGACAGATATATAACAAAATCATAGACCACACACACACACAAAAACCAAAACCTGAACCATGAAACAAAAATAGGTAAAAATAAAATAAGACAAGTTTAAATGA